AGGTGCCTTTGAAGCTCTGACTACATTTGTGCTGTACTTCATTCTTGGAATTTTGGTAGCAGCCTTGTGTAGGAATTGCGGTGAACCCTGGCTCTTGACTAGTCTGTGTATGGATTGGTTGACAAAATTATCTCAAAATTAATATATGAACTCCACATAAAATTTTATATATCAGTGCATATCAACTATGGCTTTGCTTTGAATGTAACTCAACATTACCATCTTATTGTAGTCAGCGGCTTATTGGAGCAGTAAATGGTGCTCTTGTTTTCGGTATCATTGCTTCTTTCACCGCTCTTGTGGTAATTCCCATTCTAACTATTTCAAGCTGTTTTATCAGATTCTTCAATATGTGATCTTGCACGGATATGATACATTTCGATTCATGCAAGAAGAATAAATTATTTGGATTTGAATGCAGTTACACACGTGTTAAAGTGTCCTAATATTTGTTGTGCCAATGATTTCCTAAGCAATTTGGTTTTTTTGCTATAAGCCTGAATTAAAAAGGTAAGTTATCATTCATCTGCATTCAAAGTTATGGCAAATTGTTCTCCAAAAGATAAGTAATTGCATTTTAATACCATGATCCTAGTGCGCGCATAAAAGATGCAAAATTCTTGGTGATAGACTTGCTCAAAATCTTTTCTTTATTCATGATTGATCTCCCTTCTTCTGAAGCTTGCTTCCACTTCTGTTCTCAGATACTTCATCTTGATTTGGTCAGAGTACCATGATGACATCAAAAGCTTACTCAGATTAAAAATTAAATACTCAAGGAAACTTAGCAGTCTGTAGTATCACAACCAAAGTGTTACTTATCAAAAAGGTTGCTCTCCTAATTCTATACATGTTCATGATAAAAATCTGTTACTTTTGCTTCACTACTCTTGTCTTGGCCAGATCCCATTAAACAATTATTGTACTATTTAGGTTGTTGCTAGTGGGGATTTGCACTGGGAAGCTCTTTTAAAAGCAAACTATGAAGCTGCTCCTCAAAGTATACCCATTATAGCTCTTTCTTTCGTTTACCAGGTAAAATAACCAACCTATTAATGGATCAGTAGTAATTTCCAATACAACATTGTTTCAAGTTGATTCAGACAGATGCTCCTTTGTTTCAGAATGTAGTGCCAGTCCTTTGCACAAATCTGGAAGGAAACATGTCAAAAATTAGGTGATAACTCCAATCACCAGTACTTAATTGCCACATTTTGCTGAATTCATGCTAATATGGGTGTCAGATTACCAGAACATGTTATATATCTGTATAAATCCATGGAGCTGAAACCTTTCTAATAAATCAAATATTATGGAAGTAATTTAATAACGTAAATAAGATGATTTGAGATCTTGCAATATTCCCATACTTTGTTTCAAGGTACTCGGGATTTAGTTCCTGACAATGTGCTGAAGTTTCCAAATTATACCATTGTGACTTCTATCCACCCAAATAGATGTCGAACTAGTAAATGTTAACATCTATACATCTATGTGGGAGTTTATTCATAACACATGAGGATATAGGACCTAGAATTGCATTTGTGGGTAAAATGAATTGAACCTTTACTTGAAACGATAAACATTACTTTGTTGATGAGTAGCAGAAATTTCTGCAATTATAATTTGGAATTTGTCTTGATATGTGTTGCCTACACCTCATCCTCATTTCGATCAACACTTGGCCAAATTCTTCCATTTATTGATAAGACTCCTCATAATTGGGAATAGTATTTAGCTTTAGCTAAAGATAATGGGTTAAACTATTGTTCTTGACAATGTAAAACTGATGAATTAGCTATAAATTTGATTTACTGAGATTTGAATCAAAACTTAAATGGGGCCCTAAAATCTTTTTTTTTTTTTAAGAATCCTGTGCATGATTTCCTTAACTACAGCCAATACCATTCATCAAATATTAAGTGGCTGTGATCTTGATTACCTTGACTTTTTCTTCTTCTTCTATTTTTTTTGCATGGTTTCATAAAGATTTTACTTGACTTAGTTACCTTTATATGGTATCTATTCTTCAAGCAATCTCCATATGGTCACAGCTAAAGATTTGCAGTTAAATTAGGGGTGGTTATCTCAGAGACATTAGTATCTGCTATTAACTTGTAGGACAGCCATTGTGCTGGGCACAGCAATTCCCCTTGCTCTTTTTCTTATATGGAATGCAGTTATACTTGGAACAATCCCAGCTCTTGAAATGGGCTCAGACAAAATTTTTGACCCTTTACAACAACTGCGGTCCACAAACGGTGTTGTTGGGGTAAGTATTTGAAACATCCTTTTTTTATCCTTCTGTTGTCCATGTTGGTTGTCTGCTCTTAGGTCTAACCAATCTCATTTTTCCTGTCTGTATCAAAATGAAATCATGCAGCCTATAGTTGACATATTCTCACTTCTTGCAATTGCAACTTCCTACATTGGATTTATTTTGGGTCTTACAGACTTCCTTGCTGACTGTAAGTGGTCCTTTTGTTCGTACCATCATAATAAGAATCGTGTTATCATAGAATGGAAAGATTAGTGTTTAATTTGTTGCAAGCTTACTTTACGTGAAATAAATTGACAATAAAGAGAGAGCATGATTTTACATCATCTGCATTGCTGCTTATAGTTTGTAGTACCAATGCTTATGCATCTCAATTTCACTGAAGGTGGGAGAAACTGAAATGAAAATAAAATGGATTAGGAACTTTTTGTTGTGTGCATGGCTTCAATTGGGATCATATATCTATGTTTTTCATTTAGGCACAATTATTGCAGTTCCATAGGTCAAAATGCACAAGTAGAATGTAAAGGGAGTCTAGAGCATTGCACTGGCAGAGAATGATTAGAACAACAAGAAAAGGGAACACATGCTACACTGGTGTCTGTTCTGTATACATGTACATAATGTTTGCAAAACATTTTTCTGCATTTTGAATCTGCCACACACCTGAACAGAGAATTTTGGGGTTAGCAAAGTCAAAAGTGTGTGCTTTTAGCTTTTATGACAGATAAAAATGGGCTGCTTTCTGATTCAGTCAAGCTAGGCTGCCTCCTCTGAAGTTTGTTAGCTGATGGAAATTGATGCAATTATACTGTTGAACAATAATGAAATATATGATAGTAATTTTCCTGTTGGTTGCCAATGCATCTAATGCAGTGCTGAAGTTGCCTTCTGGTCAGAACAGTCCTTTGCCATATATACTTACATTGGTTCCGCCATTGATACTGTCATTGCTTGATCCAGAGATATTCTTCAAAGCATTGGATTTTGCTGGAACATATGGAGGTATAATAGTAGCATGAATAAAATTCAAATTCTGATTCAAGTAAATTTTTAGTTGGACAAGTTTTGACTGGACATCACTAAGTTATCTTATGTACATGGTCCATTAGTGTGGACTTATTTATAAACATGTAATCAAAAGCATTGCATAAACCAGATTCTCTGTTCGTCTTAAAACACTCGTGTCCTGACTGGTCAGATACTTTTCGTTCATGGTTTTGCAGTTCTGGTTTTGTTTGGAATTCTACCTGCTGCAATGTCCTGGTCAGACAGATATTCTAAATCATCAGAGTCTCCAAAGCTCCCCCCGCTGGTCCCTGGAGGAAAGCTCACCCTTTCACTTGTGATTGGTAGTGCAGGGTATGTCATTCTTTCAGAACTAATTGAGAATCTTGGGCACCAGTTCTGAGAATCAAATTGAAGTTCTTTCTGTTAGTGGGAAGAATTAACTGCTCACTTGAAATATCTGTAACATCCAATGTGGTAAACTCTCTCAAATTTAATAATTTTTGCTTCTCATTCAACATTTACAACTCCAGTTGTGTTCCATATCTGGATTCTTTCTTTTCCCTGAGTGCCAAGCATATTTGGATATTATGGTTAGAAGGTAACATAAGTGGAGAACTAGGGACGACTACATACGAGTTAAATTTTCATCAGGAGAGAGAGAGAGAGAGAGAGAGAGACAGAAGCTTCAGAATTTGAAACTCTCTTACAGGATGCTGTAAAGTACACCTAAGTACATGGTGCAATATCAGTATGATTGGTTTTCAGCCCATCAGGCTCTCAGGCTCTTACGCAACAAGAAGTTATGGTCCCATTGTTCCAAAAGAGCTGGTTGTTAATGAATTAATCACAACATTGCAAAATCAATTGACGTTCTTGACTCTGTCATGGCTCAAGATCATGCAACACGTCTCAACCTTATCACATGACTTGAGATGCAGTAACCGGTCTTATACATGTAAGAAGATGAAATAGGAAGTTATTAAAAAGATTTCAAGGCAATTAGCGCATTAGCCATTCTGTCTGATGCAAAAAATGTAACGATGCAATGACAGTCCGCTTTCATTTGAAGAGTACAGCAAAAAGTTTCAGATGCCCAAGCTATGGTACTTTAGTAGTGGTTACAAGATGTAATACTGTGCCCACTGTGTTTTGCAGTACATCTTACCTGCATAAGTTTTTGAAATACTCAAATCCTAGCATCTTTGGCCTTGTTGCCATAGGAACCAGTATGGGGTTATGGTTCTCCTGAAAAACGAGCCTCAGGGTTTTTTTTTCTTTTTTTTTTTTTTCACCCTATGAAAATCTAAAATCTTGTCGCTAACTATGCAAAAGCACTATTTTTCCCATGATTGACTAATGAATCTGTGGCCAGAAAAGTTTGTTTAGTACTGAACACAAGACTCAGGTTGTGAGAATTATGGGTAGCACAATGTTTTCCTCATTCGAAGACTTTGGCAAGCCTTTAAACTGGATAGAATAGCATGTATTTCACCACAATGGATCAATAAGAATGAACTTCCAATGTATTTCATGTTTCCAACATTTTCTTGCTAACATGTGATCATCTCCATTTGATGGTATGGTAAGATAATTCACTTCAAACGCTTTCTACGACTAAACACTAATATTACAATAGTTGCAGATTTACTATCTTAAGCAAAGTAGGTAAAGGTTAATACATCCATAGGGGTTTAATAAGCACCTCGAGCCCTTAATTTCCCATCTCATTTTGTTCTTCCTGAATTTGCTTTACTGATTTCTCAGCAGAGCAGCTACACCAGTGCACCTCAATCATTTCTAGTGTTGTTATATCTCCTAAGCTAGATGGGACCCCGTCGAGTTGCCAGCATTCTTTTACTAACAACCGCAGCAAACTAGGGAAAGGGTAATCAGAAGCATTCCAGAAGACAATGTCCACCCTGTCCAATTCCAGGAATTTGAGATTGAGGAATTCTCCATCCTCTACCACCCATTCTTTGCCCTGGAAGGCTGATCCATAGAGTTTAAGGACCTCAAGGTTGGGTAGTTTACCTGTCTTTGAAGTTTCTGTACAGGAGAGAACAAACTCTACCAATGAGCTTTTTCAGATTTTAGGGGAAGTTAAACTCATAGGGACATTTCAGCCTGCCAAAAGAAAACACCTTGAGTGTTTCAAGTTTATGTAGAAAATCTAATTCTGGAAGCTGATTGCAGCACCACGAAGAATCCCACGAGTCCAAAAACATGCAGCTTAATTTTTGAAGACTCGGTAGCCTTCTTAAAATCTTCTCCATGGTGTCATCGCCAAAACGAAGAGATGGTGTTGCAAACGTGCCTCAAGCTTGCCATCTTCCAAAGAGTATCTGGTAATTCTGCTCCATCTAGTCCTTTCAGTACTCGGAAGGAATAAAATTCACAGATCCTTGAATTGCAATGTACCTTAGATGAACCAGCATTGCTATTCCATTAGGGAATTTTTCCAACCCTGATGTTCCATAAATCCAGCACTCTAAGAAGTTTTAAAGTTTGAGCAATAAATGAGACATCACCACAGTAGGAGTACATTGATAAACAGACCTCAATTTCATCAGTCGCAAGCATTAGCAATGACCGGACATCCCTGCTAGAAGGCCTCCACCTGTTTAAGTACTCTGCATGAGAAGAAATACAAATCCCCTTTTGGTGAAGATTTGACGGGTAGGCATTCTCTAAATTAAGATTGTATTGTAAATCATTATCATGGCTGAAGTTTAGTTCATCCACTTTCAGCAACATCAAGAAATTTTCTTGCTTGGCTTTTTAGGTTTTCCAACATAGAATTTGCGCAAAGGTCATGAACTTGGCATGCTTTGACCCCTCCATTGCTTCTAGTTTTCGAAACCATTACCAGGCTTCGACCAATTAGATCCATCAGGAAACCCTCTGCTAGATCTTCCAAGCTTTTCATCTCTGTTGTTCTTACAAATCCTTCAGCTATCCACAACCATATTAATCTCCTGACAGAAATTTCTCTGTCCTCTGGAAACATCCCAAAATAAAGAAAGCATGGTTTCAAATGACCTGGTAAATGCCTGTAACTCATTTCCAATGTGTCCAAAGCCTTTCCTCCTCCAATATGTTTGCTTACACTTTCTGCAATTTCATTCCAATGATCTTCAGTCATTGTTATTTTCCTGAGAAGTCCAGCTACCAGAACAACTGAAAGAGGCAATCCTCTACACTCTATTGCAATTTTCTTTCCAACATTACATAGTTCTGGAGGGCAGATCTTTTGTTGGAACACGTTTTTCTGAAATAATTCCCAACTTTCTTCTTCAGTAAATGAGCGAAGATGATGTGGGGAACCACCAGGGTTTGCTAATAAAGCAATGTCATGGACTCGACTTGTGAATACAATTCGGCTTCCATTATGATCATCTGGGAAAGAGTTTCTTAAGTCATGCCACGCCTGAGGGTTCCATATGTCATCCAAGACAATGAAATACATCCTTCCTTTAAGACTTCTGGACAGGGCTTCAGCCAAATCATCAATGCTCATTTCCCAAACTTTGTCATTAAGCAAAACAATTCCATTACCTAATATGTCAAGCAATAAATTTCTCCTTACACAGTTGAGAGACACAACACCATGAGCAAACGTGGAAGTGAGAAATAATTGAAGGATGGTTGTAAATTTTCCTTGCCAGAGTTGTCTTGCCAAGTCCAGGCAGACCAGTGATGGAGATAACATCCAGTTCTTTCGAACCTCTTTGAAGCCGGTCTATTAACTTTTCTGCCTCATCTTTGAAGCCCACCACCTCTTCATCAACAAATTGATAATCTCGTGATAATTCATTATTAGAAGGCTTCGCAATTCTGTGAACAGTTTTCTCGTGCATCTTTGCATCATAGATATCTGTTACTCGTGGCCTCAAATGCTTAAACTTTTCTATGACATCCGATAACCACAACACATGATACCAGAGAGGGCCATCACCTGGAGCGACTAAATCAATGACATATTCTGCCTCATATGCTGCAGCTACAACACGATTCTCTAGATCTTCAAATTCTTCAACCTTCTTGCAGTGCTCTAGTGTCTTTCTGAGGAATGATCTCAAGAATATCAGCTCACTCCGTACTGTTTCAGTCTCATTTTTCACATAAGCAATCAGATCAGCCCTACATGTCCGCAGGTCATCTAAGGCTTTTAATAAAAAATCGATGAACCCCAAAGTAGGAGTCTTGGCAAAAGTAAATGGTGATGACTTCAGAACTTTGTCATAAATTTTTCTGATCTCAGCCTTCACAAGTTGTGCATGAATCTTCAGCTCATCATTGATCAGTAAAAGCGTTTGCATGTCCTTTTCATCTTTCTTTGACAATCAATTGCTCCTGCCTCCCTGGCCGCAGCTTCAATCTGTATTAAGAGTGAATTGAATATGTCAACCTTCTTGTACTGCTGCAACGGAGGATCCATTAGAAAACTTTTCAGGAAGCCGAGATCAGAGTAAAGGATTGCAACTTCATGATCTTGAGGTGGAACTGTGGGACCAGCATTGCACCTTAGCAGTCCCTGCAGTTTTCCTAGCACAAAATCCAGAGCCACAAGGCTTGTAAATCAACCAGAATATCTCCTGAATTCTATCATTGAATCTTTTAGGACTTCCACATAAATCATTTTGATCTCTGGATCAATGTGTTTTATATGTGATATCAGATCAGAAAGCTTACTCTTAACATGTATTTCTTCCTGTAAGCTCTCCTGCCAACACAAGTAAGACACTACTGCTGCATCTCCAACGAGAACTTCAAGATGAGTCATGACATTTCTTAATCTGTTTTGCATCTCCAGCTTTACTGTTGATTCTGTGATCTTCTCTGCAATCTTCCGGAAATTTCTTTAAAATGTCCGCTGTTCTTCGAGTTTTATGACATGTCTCTCCAGCGAAACTAGTTAATTTGCTTTACGATAGCTAAGTACTTCAGATTCTCCAGCAACGGATTGATCAACTCTACTATGTGTTCATGAATATACTCAACATCTTCATCAGTTATAGGTATATTCTGTTGATAACAAACATAATACCTACAAGATGAATTCATTGAAACATCTAGCCAACCAATAATTTCTAACATACCAAAAATCATTTCATCCACGGTCTTACCATCACTTGTTGGTCAAGATAGGTGCAATGCAGCAGAATTTACCACTTCTTGTATGTCTTTGAAAAAGTGAAGTGTAACCAAACTGTCTCCCTTGAACCATAATCCATCCGACAAATATTTTTGTGAACTTAAATTGAATTTTAAGGTCTTGAATATAGTTCTCTGCAACATCACTTAAGTTTCCTTGGTTCTCTAGCTCCTCAAGACGCTTTAGGATATCATCAATGGCATGCTGGTCATGATGTTTGAATTGTTGATCAAGTTAAAAAACCTGCAAAGGCCAAAGAAAGCACATAGAGGATCAATGTGCTCAATCCCATGTGGGATTTGGAAAAGCTAAATAAATAAAAGTAAGAAAGGATATTAATGATTGGATACTTACTATACAGCATATTTACTTTTAACTCATAAGTACCGAACCTCAATTAAGGAAAACCAAAGAGAAGAAAAGAACAAAGATACACACAACTGCTATGCTGCCGAATTATGTGCTCTTTAAACACAAGTTGTTGAAAGTTGTGTTTGGTTATTTTGCCAGAATTGAATTTGGGATTTTATTCTTTGAACATATTCCTCAGATTAGTTTAATCCAATTCTGATTCTCTTAAAGAACCTAAGACAGCATAAGTTTGGTGTGCAAGTAATTGAGAACCTATGACAGTGATGCAGCAAGAAGAGATGACATTATTAACTTGCTAAGCTTTACTAAAGAATGTAGAGGTCAAGTTTACCTGTATATTCTGAGAAGCTTAATATCAGTGATCTGAAGTTTGAAGAAAATGCAGAAGTGCTTCTAACGTACGCTACACAACCTGGCAGTTCTGCAATGGATGCAGAAACAACTTTGAAAACAAAGCCATTTGGAAGCTACAGGCTATTCATAGATTGCTAGCAATATAGCCTTGGTCAATGCAAGTTACTGATCAGACATATTATAGTTCATTTTTTCTGTCACCAATGTTTTTTTTTTTTCATGTAAAAACTGATATTGTTTTAGTCAACCTTGTTGAATAGATTAAAGTTTGGTTTATATGCTTTTCTTTTAGAATTGTAGGTGGAAATATTCTTACAATGATATTAACTTCTGTGTAATGTCTACCAAAAGTTTTTTTTCTTTCCACTGAAGCAATGGAGGAGGCAATTTATGATTGTTTGGGGCGACTACAAATTATAATTGCAGTCAAAAATTAAAAGGTTTATGGTTGACTGCGAATAAAAGCTAGAATGCATCTTACTTTAATACGTTGAGAGAACTGTAAATTAGTATTTCTTAAAATTCAATGTTTTTATGTGTCGAGTTTTGGCTTTCAGAGGTTCCAAATTTTTAAAATCTCTCTGAATGGATGAGACTTTAAACTCTACCATTGAGGGATGTAGCTTTAGTTCTTAAAAATGGTCCACTGATTTTAACCTACTTTGCAATTTTTTTTCTTTTGTTGGTCCACTGGATCAATATCTGTACTAATTGGTGCTTGCATGGGCAAGGTGCCAAATTTGCTGACAAGAAGCACCAAGCCTTTCCCTGCAGAGAATGTGTCGACCTAGTAAACAAGGCTACAGAGTATGCACAGAAAACTGCAGACAGAGAAGGTAATCTGGATACACGAGGGACAAGATCTCAAGCTATTAATATTACCAATCTCTTGGCAGGCACAAAGAATTTATAAACCAGATTTATCGCCTGAGCGTCTGAGCATTGCATAGCTCTTATGTCAAGGCATAATATTTTACAATCAGCATGACATAAGCTACAGAAGTGTGTAAGTGAGCACTTTTTGCATATACAACATAACATACAGCTTTCAGAAAAAGGCAGTTTTATGCACTCCACGGTCACTCTATCAAGCGTCTCTGCTTGTACCAGATCATTGCAATCACATACAGGAATATGGTACCAGTAGTGCCACCGCCTACCGTCCATAGAAATTGTGGCATCCCAGCCTTGTCATCGTCAAACAATTCAATATGGATGTTCATGCCAAAGATCCCAGCCACGACAACAAAAGCACTAACCACCAGGGTTGCAGTTGTCAACATGACCCCCATTTGCAGGAGATGGTTTTGTTTGTCATCCAGCATGATGTTGATGTAGTCTTCAGTATCATCTACATACTCCCTCAACTTCAAAAAACACAAATATTGTAAAATGTCATTTAAATCTTATAAGAAACTGGCTCAAGATTCAGGAACTGAGTCATCAAGGCTTGAAAAGCAATTTTGTTTCTGAAGGAACTCAACAGCATATAACATTTTACTTATTTATGACAAACGACATCTCAAAAGGGGAGAAGAGACTCAGATGTAGACGATAGCAAATTGAAACCATACCAGAAGGAAAAACTGGTAGTAGTAAGTAAAGTAGTGCATATATAACCATGTTAAATTACTCAAAAGAAAAAAAAAAAGGGAAATCATGCAGTGAATTGCATAAGTAGTCATCCAATGATCATATATCCTCATTCTTATACTTCTTCTTCTTTCTTTTTTTTTTTGGGGTCAATCAGCAACATCTACTCTCCTCCTATTCCTACTCTAGCCTAACATAGGAGAGGACCCAATTGGGTCATTGGGAAACTGCTAGAGACTAAACCACCATCGGACCAGACAGATGTACTACACACCCGTATGTATGCATTTGGAGAAGCCACATGTTAGTAGCAAAATGATGGGAGGCAAGGTTTGAACCCTTGACCCCCTAGCTCACAAAAACTTGAGTCTTTTGTGGTGGCCAACGCCCTTTGGGCCGTTGGTTATTCTCATTCTTATACTGGCAACCATAATCATAACTAATATCAAGACGCATACACCTTTTCCAATTCTAGTGACTTGAGAAACTTCCCAGAAACAGTAGGGTTCAAGATCTTGTTTTACGGTTTTGATCGAAACCTTTCCTATCAAGTCGGAAGTGTAATACTTTCTCATTTCTATTTTGTATGCTAAAAATATTTTCTGTTTGACATCAGTTTGTCATGACTTAAAGATTAAGTAAATTTTCGATTAATGGTGAAGGTCTAAACTAACATTTGATCTTTTACTATTGTTTTCCTTCTCTTCTTTTCTCCAACCAAAATATATAGAGTCTTACAAAAGCATCAGTAGAGTTACATACCGTGGAGAGTTTATTCAGCGTGCCATCAATCTGGACAAAGTATGCTTCCAGAAGCATTTCAAGTTCTTCCACATCAAGTTGCTTGCTTATAGCACTTTGAGTTGTACTGGTACGTGTCCCACGACTATCTTTGCTAAGCGTCCGAGCAGCAGCAATCAACTGCTCCCGGGTATTGTCCATATTCTGAAGACCAGCATCATAACTGGTGGGACCCCCATTACCTTCATATGAAATGTTAGCACGAGTCCTGATATGAGAAACGAAGATGTCATTTCTAACACTTACATATGACTAAGGCACAAATAAAGAACATAAAGTTACATTTTATCCACAAACAAAAAGAATACACACCTTTCGTCAATATCCTGTTGATTAGCTTCATCATCCAATTCATCTTGCTCATTTATAGAAGAAACAGAGGAATCATCAAGCTGCTGTTGCTCAAGCTTTTCAGTCAGATACATCTCAGCCATATCTTCATCGTCATCTAGTAGATGCTCCAACTCATCCCTGACCTGTGATGTACGTGCACAATTGACCAGAGAAATCAACTAACAAAATTAATAGTTAGGATGTGTGGAACAACATTCAAGGAGGACATCGAAGCAGGATTAAGAAGAAATAATGAACTGAGCTCAAGATCACATGTCAGGCACAAGAAGCAACAAATTAAATCACAAAAAGACTAGGAAAGCTACAGAAATTAACAATTGTTATAGAAATGAGGAAATAGGATAATGCAGAAACAAGTCAAGTGTAGATCTAACCCATACAAAGAATAGCCACTAAAAAAATGCAGAGAAGAAATGGCTTGCAATGTATTAACCATTAGCATGGAAAAAATATCCACAGAATCATTACCAATAACATGCAGAAAAATCAAACTCCAAAGCAAGCATATTTAAAGAACAGAAATCATTCACATTATTCAAGCAAAAGTAAATCTTCAACATAGACCGGATTTTCTTTGTGTAACTGCATCATAGAAATGCGCCGACCTTTTGAACACGTCCAGTTATTGCAACCAAGCGACTCTTAATTTGACGAACTCTTTCCAAATTGAGAGTACTAATTTTTGTTGTC